GTGAGTGAGTGAGTGAGTGAGTGAGTGAGTGAGTGAGTGAGTGAGTGAGTGAGTGAGTGAGTGAGTGAGTGAGTGAGTGAGTGATATGGTTCTGTTTTTGCAACCTATTTTTTTGACACAATTGATAATTTCTCGTTTGTTGGACTTACTGTTTATTCTCCACCTATGCAAATAAAAAACAAATACTGCCTATCCCTTGTGTTTGGCTTGGTAGATCTCGGCATGCCATCAGCTTCAAAAGTAGAACTTGTTTTAAAAAAGGTTCGGCACCCCTGAGCTACGAGAAAAGCACAATTTAAACATGGTGATCACGAGGAGGGATGGGCTCGAGTAGGCATATTGTTTTTAAAGTTGTTTAAATACAATATACAACATAATAACAATGTAGTTGCTCCATCAGCTGGATGTGAACTGGGTGTACCAAGCACTAAAGACGTGAAATTTGAGGGGAAAATCACTAAGGAGTATTGAAAGTGTAGAACCAGAGTCTGGTCTAGAATATTTTCACTGTTTTAATGGATCCAAGGATGCAGCATAAACTTTCTGTTGCTCTGGTTGTGAATATAAACTCTGGTTAAACTCATTCCGTTCTCACCTAAATAGCTCCCATTTAGCCGTGCTGCATGGAGGAGCAGCTGAACATCTCTGCTTTGATTGGAAAATATGGATATGGGTTGAAAAGTAAAAGGCATTATGCCACACGCTTGTAACAGGAAAGGAATAGACCCAGCTAACTGCACAAAGTCTTTCCCAGCACTGATTCCACTCTAAACAGAGAGCTATAACACAGGTAGCACCCCTTTCATTCAAACAAAGGGGTAAATATTCCTACCTCCTGTCTTTTTAATGATAGTTCTACATTTCTGTACATTATAAGTTTATCATGTTTAACAAATTTTATTTTTTAAGATTGTTCAAAATCATAACAGGTAACATAGTTTGTTATATCTTTTAAGTTTAATAACGTCAAGAAAACATTTTTGTGTAGTATGTATGTCAAACATCAGTGTCTTCCTTCTCAGCCTCTCTTTCACCCAGAGTAACAATATGAATCAAAATGCATCTAATTACCAGATAAAATAGAGCATAAAGCATGAAAATAAAATATATCACACTGACCAGAGATGCTGCAAAAAATTGAAATCTAAATAAGTCATTTTTTCTTGCAATGAGTTCATTTTTTCTTGAATTGAGGAGTTAAATGAGACTTTTTGCCAATGGAACAAGACAATTTACATTTAAAATAAGAAAACACAATTGCATTGTCTTATTTCAAGTGAATATTATTTAATTATCTTATTTACCTACTCAAATTATTTGGTAAATACACTTAATTCAAGACATTTTTTCTCATTTTTAGATGTTTTTTGCAGAGATATAAACAAAATGCATTGGGCTAAATGGGTTTTCTTTTGTTCGTCCTTTGTCTTTAGTTAAATTTAGAGCAATGGTTGTACCTAAACTAAAGCTTGTTCCTACCAGTTCCTTGGTTTGTATAATTTTTATTACCGCACTGTATGGTTTTTCCAGGTACAGGCTCTGGTTTGGGGACCAGAGTGCTCAGCCTGCTGGAAGAGGAGTTTCCTGACGTGTGTCGCATCGTCACCGCCATGTACCCATCAGCAGAAGACGACGTCATCACTTCTCCCTACAACAGCGTCCTTGCCATGAGAGAGCTGACAGAGCATGCAGACTGTGTCCTTCCTGTGGAAAACCAGGTTTCACTTTCTCTTTTTTGCTGAACTTTGCATATTAAACAAATCCCTGATTGATTTTCTTTTTTTTTTGCTCCGTTTTTCTGCCCCTGCTTTGCCTCGCTTTCTCCATTGCAGTCTTTAGTGAACATTGTGAACAAGATCAGCCTTATGTCTCATGGTACAAAGCCTGGCTCTGTGCTGAGGAAGGACAGCGCCGTCACCTCTGGACAGGGCTCGCTCAGCCCAACAGAAAAACCTTTTGATGCAATGAATAACATAGTGGCTAACCTGCTGCTCAATATTACCAGGTATGAATCTGTGCAGAAGAACAGAACATTTTAGGTTAAAACAACATCTTAAAATATAACTTCATCCTCCACAGACAGTCGGAACAAAACTGCTTTTTTGTTGTTGTTTTTTTTCCAATTTAATGGTATGGAATTTTTTTATTCAGCTTTTTGGTCAACTCATTAAATTATATTTTTGTTTTTACAGTGTTGGACTTGTTTAGTGTAACAAAGTTAATGTTAGGTAAATATCATTTAATTGTTTGAATTATATTGAGCCAATCGATCTTAGCTCACAGTGAAAGGGATGTTTTTGACTCACTAAGGAGGAAAAAGTACCCAGATGGTAGCAACAGGATTAACGTATTCTCACGACTATAAGGCGCATATAAACATCTTTTTTTTTCCTCAAAATGTGCGGCGCGCCCTTTGGTGCGGTGCGCCCTATGTGTGTTGTTATTGCGGACGTTTGAGACCACCATAAGAACGTTAAAGGAGGAAGTGTGGGCGTGGAATGTGTATAAAAGAACAGGTATGTGTTTTATGCCGAACTCCTCATCTCCTCATTGAGGAGATGATGAAAGAGTGGCTGAGGGAGGGGAATGTAAGGAGACCAGGTGGTTTTTTTCCACTCATCACCATTGCTGTTCATCTGTGACTCCATGCGTGCCCATCTCACAGCTGATGAGAAAAACATGGTGAAACAAATGAACACTGTGCTCACCGTTATTCTGGGAGGTCTGACAAAGGAACTTCAACCGCTCGACATCGGTGTGAACCGGCCGTTCAAAGTAAGGCTGCTTTCACAGAAGCAGAAGAAGCAGCGAGTTTACATGCAAAGTCAATGGTTGACGCGCGTCAAGGCGCAGCAAAAGGTCCCGCAGCGCGTTTTGAGCAGCAGGCGCAGCGCGTCGGGAGCGTTTAAGCATCTGACGCGCGAAAATTTGAAGTTTTGCTGCTGGACGCGCCGCATGAACCAATCAGAGAAGCTAATCTGGGAGCTGACAGCGAGACAGACACATCGCTGATGATACAGAGCGCTGTGATCGCTCCTCTGAAACAGTTTATTGACGCCTAAATTAACTTAAAATGCTGAAACCTGCCGACAGAATATGTTCGCTTTTGTTATCCTGGTGCCTGCAGTTTGGATAATTGTGATGAAAAACACCTACCAGCCACCGCGCTGAACCGCAAGGAGGCGACCCAGCCAGAGGCTGCTGTTGAATTAAGTTTTCAGGTGGATTTTCCCACTTAAAAACATATTAAAACTACTTTATTCCCATTGATCACAGCAAATATAGCTGCAAGGCAGAGAAAGGATAGTGAAGCTCCGCCCAACGTGCGTCAGACACACTTTTGCACCGCGCAGCCAGAGCAGCAAAGCTGCTTCAGCCGCGCGTCAGAACTAACTGGTACAATCTAAAATGCAGGCACCACGGTAATATAAGCAAACATATTCTGCCGGCAGATTTCTGCATTTTAAGTTAATTTATGCGTCAATAAACTGTTTCAGAGGAGTGATCACAGCGCTCTGTGTCATCAGCGATGTGTCTGTCTCACGGCCAGCTCCCAGGTTTGATTAATACTTAATAATAAATACATGAATAAAGCACAGTCATACTCAGTTTTGCTCCCGCTCTATTTTTAAATACGCAGTAGAGGAATTTAAATGTAGTAGAGGACATGTACCTGTATATAAAACCCGTGCCCTATAGTCCGGTGCGCCTTATGGTCATGAAAATACGGTACTTTGTTCTAACAGGAACCTGCAGTCAATTGAATCCTGATTAATGCACAGCAAGTTCCTATCTACAGAAGGATTCATATTTTCATGTGGATATATTAGTCATGGTCAATAGTAGGGATGGGACGATTTATGAAAACCGTCAGAACCGTTCGGTTCGACTGTCTCGGTTCGGTTCGCGTGTGTTTCGTTCGGTTCATGCGCTACTCCTTTTTCTCATAGGTGAAGCGTTTACACTCCAGAGCAGAAGGTAGCGGTACTGCGACCAAAGCCAACTACCATTAGTAAACAAGAAGAAGAAGAAGCGAAGCAGCGTAGCCGGTCGTAGCAGGGAAAAAAATCAGTTGTTATGGAGAATTGTGTGGGAATGGCGAGTGGGAAAGAACAGGAGTTGGAAGACGCGCCAGGAGCACTTTATAGGTCTGCTGTATGGGACCACTTTGCATTTAGAGTGACCTACGATGACGGCGGGAAGAAAGTTGTGGATAAAAGTGCAACAGTGTGCAAGCATTGTGCAACACGTTTTGTTTACGCTAACAGCAACATGACCAACATCATGCTAACCCTGAAATCCCTCATACTCCGTCAGCGCTCCGCTTCATCCCGCTGCGCTCCAGACCGGCTGCTCAGAGCAAAGCATACAGCCTCCACTGTGGCTCCCGTCCGCTCCCCTCTGAGTCCCTTGGAGAT